ATTTGGGAACCTGAGCCAATAGGGCTCAGTGGCAAATTGGGGCCCAGAGGATGAGGCACCATGCAGTAGTGACTCTAATTCCCCGGTTGGTGGAGCTCGGCAGTATCCTAGGCTCTGTGAAGCCAGGTGCAACAGCAGCATGTCGCAGAATGGCAGTTGTGTGTATTCTGGATGGGGTGGGGGTACAGCACAGCGATTACCTACTCTGCAAGGAGAGGAGTGTCTCAGCAGTTCAGACTCTAGGGGATCCCACGTTAGGGAAACAGGCTACTAGAGATGTTTGGCCTGTAGGGCGAGTGTCTCTGCTCAGCCACTGCTCTGTTTTCTTGGATGCAGGTTACTATGTCAGCTTAGCCCTGGGATGCTCAGCTGCTTCAGGGCACCAGTTCCTCCAGCTGAGGCCTCGGGGGCATGACTTTTCTGGGCAGTCCAGGCATTGTTTCCTTGGGATGCAGGGAGCTACTTCTGCTAAGGTATTTGGATGCGTGACTGCTCTGGGTGCCATTTCCTTGCATGCAAGGCACTGCTTCAAATTGGGCACCAGTGTGGGGTGACTCCTTTGAGCAGCGAAGGTACTGTTTTCCTGAAAGGGGAGTGATACTGTTTGAATATGCATCCCCACCCAAATTTCATGTTGAATTGTAATCCCCAGTGTTGGAAGAGGGGCGTGGTAGGAGGTGATTGGATTGTGGGGGCTGATTTCCCCCTTGCTGTTCTCCTGAGTGAGTTCTCACAGATCTGGTTGTTTAAAACTTTCCCCGTCGCTCACTTCCTCCTGCTCTGGCCATATAAGTTATGATTCCTTTCTCTTTGCCCTCTGCCATGATTGTAAGGGTCCTAAATGAACCCCACCTGCCACCTCCACCAGCTGTGCTTCCTGTATATCCTGTGAAACCATGAGCCAATTAAACCTCTTTTCTTTATAAATTATCCAGTCTTGGGTAGTCCTTCTTAGTGGTGCCAGAATGGGCTACTACAGGGAGAGAAGTAGGGTAGATAGAGTGGGCTTCCTTTCTCCTTGGCTCCATGAGTAAGGGTATAACAGTTGCTTGCAGCTTGGGGATGTTTGGCCAATGGATTGTGATAGTCTGGTGGTAACTTTGCCTTGGGGATGAAGGGAAGCTGTGGCTACTAACACCAGGAGCAAGACACACTCCAGCTATAGTTCCATTTCCAAGATGGTATAGCGCAGTAGTTGCATGGGCCATAGAGGGCAAGTCCCAGTGTTGCCCCCCTTCTTGGAGGGAACACAGCAGTGTGGACTCTAGGCAGCTCCCTCAGCTGGGCTTAGTGCCTATGAGAACTGCAGGGACAGTGGTGAGGTCTATATGTGTCCCAGGTATTGATGGGGGTTGCTGAGATCCTCTTGCTTACCTCCTTCCAGTAGGGAGGTTTGTCCTGGTTCCCAGATGATCCTGGTTGGGGTATAGGGTGGTGGAGGCCAGGTGTTTCCTTCTTTTTTCCATGTGGCCGCCTTGAGTTTTGTAACTAGGGTTTTTGTAAGTTCTCTGATGCACTCTGTGCTCTATCTCAGTTATTTTTGTTAAAATGTAGTTGTTTAATCATTGTTTTGGGTGTTGTTTTGAGGGGGATGAATGCTAGGAGCTTCTAGTTGGCCATCTTATGTCACGATTTTAAACCCTTTGTAAACATAAACTCAGTTACTATCTTAACAGAATAATGCGAGGTAGATACTATAACTGGTTGCATATTAATTTTAATAGAGATTATGTAATCTGGCAAGGTCTCTCAACTGACAAGTAGTGGAGCCAGGATTTGAACCCAGGTTATTTGGCTCCAGAGGACAGTGATACTGTTTTAATTCTTCCTATAATCCCTACTGCCTAGAACATTGCCTGGGTATAGTAGTGTTCAATAAATACTTAAAAACTGAATGATTAAACTGCTTTGCTGTACTGGAATTGGATTCTAAGTGTGATCCTAATCAGTTGCTTTCTAATTAAGTGTGGCTGGAATATTATTTGCTGACTAGAAGTGTTGAATTTCATTAGCTCTATGCTGTTCTTTGACTGTGAGTGTAAAAGTGATGGCAGAAGTAAGGATGAGTTGGCATCAACCCTGGCTCCTATGAGAAGGACCACCTCTGCCTCACATTGTCGACTCTGGCTTCCTAACATGCTAGTTATGTAATAATGCCTTGATGCTTACATTCCCTCCCTCCATGTACAGAGAGCTTATTGAGGTATTTGGTGAGAATGTAATGCTTCTTATTTATTACTTAGTCTATGAATTCTTGCCTTTTGTGATTTTTTTTTTCCTGAAATCTTGAACAGACACTGAATAGTGATGTTATTGTCAGTGTTTTATTTGTAAATAATTTGGACTGGTTGGATTATTTGACCATGGACACTTATTTAAGTGTAGCCATTTGTATCCAAGAGAAATCTATGGCTGTAGTTTTATATTGTTAAGGGAGAAATGAGAGGAGGCTTTCACTTGAATTTTCAGCTCTTGGTTAAACACAGTGTTATAGATTGCTTAGAAGTTAGCTTCTATTTCTTGGTGAATCCATGGGATGGATAGTTCAGATTACATTGAAAGCAGTTCTTTGACTGTTCCTGAGTCTGCCTAACCATCAGTGGATTGGTGAAGTTGGGAATTATGAAAGCTAAAGTAGACCAAGAGACTAATTTCATAAGTAATCTAATATGTTGCTTAATAGGCCACTTTCCTCAGTAATCTGGATTACTTATTGGCGTTATATATGTTGAAAAGAATACTTTTAATCATTATTCTTATTACAGTAAATAGTGCCGTATTGTGATAGTGTCTGTTTCTTTATGTAAGAAATTTCTTTGTGCTAAGGCAAGAACAGCTCTAAGAGAGAAAAAAGAATAGTTTAGCAGTCAGGACAAATGATGGTATTTCATTGTTATTTTCATCATAGATTAAAATATATCCCTCATACTTTGTAAATAGGAGTCTATCAGAGATACGGTATGATGAGGGCAAGACATTTAGAAAATGCCACACAGAGCATACGCACCAGCTGTTTAAGCATAATGGTTAGCCCTAGCTCCTTGTCATAACTCAAGTCTTGAAATGATCACCAGTTCTCTAAATCCACAGGATCCTGTTTCTGAATATTTAGCCCGATGTAGTCTTTGGAAAAGTAGAAGTTTGTACCATACCAGGCAGTGGCTTAGGAAAGTCATGAATTACTATTCAGCAATAGTAATTATGGTATCTACTAACTTGAGATGACCACGAGTGTCTTTGGTAACTAACCTTTAAAGAGGCTGTGCCGATCTACTGGGTCATAGATAGTTAGGAGGAATGCCAAAGCTGATTGTGAAGCATTTTTATAAAACAATGGACAATTTAGGTGCTTTAAGGCGAATTCCTTCCTAGAAAACTTTTAGAACCCCGGAGATTGTGGTGAAGGCATTTAGAAAATACCACAGAAAACATGAGCACCAGCTGTTTAAGTGTAATGTGTAGTTGCAGCCCCTTGTTGCTTGAGTCTTTAAATGATCACCGATTCTTTAAATCTACAGGGTCCTGTTTTTGAGTATTTAGCCTGATGTACTATGTTACAGGGCATTTGGAGTGCTGTGAGCTACTACTTGCAAATTTAGATTCCAAACGAGAAAGAATTCTAGGAGGAAAGTAAGCTGTCATATTATACAAGGTTTGAATAAAGATGCAAACCTAAATATATATACTCAGATGAAGTTTCAGAAAAAGGAAGCCAGTTTGGTGTCTCTAATGCCTAATTAGGAACTCTTAGAAAGATGAAGCACTAAATAGCTAAGTCAAACGGCTAATTGAGTAATTGACTTTGTCCTTTTTAACTTGGTCAATTTTCTCTTATTGTTTACACATGTAATACTCAAAATGTTTAAATGTATACTCTAGGATTCAGTTGATGACGTTAACATTGACATCTTAACATGTAAAATAGAGTTGGACTACATTTAGTGATCATTTAGAGTTATCGCTTGTATTCTTCTGTGGTGGTGATCCACTTTTATGAAAGCCTTTTTTTTTCCTTCTGAGTAATGTGAGTATAAGGGGAATACCAGAAATACCTGCTTCCCATTCCCATCTTGTTTATTTTTGGCATCACTTATTTGTCACTTAGCATATCTACTCAAGCCTATCAAGTAGATGCCATCATTAGTGGAAATGATGCCAAGGACCTCAGATCCTTCGTACTGTGAATTGTAATTATGGGGTAGAAGAAATAAAAAAAAAAACAAACAGTTTAAGACCACATCTATGCAGAGTATTGTAATCATAGATTGGGATTATGAAGCACTTACGTCTCAACTTTATGGCTTAGTGACCTGTGAACTGTTTAATGTACTGTGTATGAAAAGTATGGTTCTGTGTCCTAAAGTGGTCTTTGGGGTGGGGAAGGGGAGGGGAGGAGTTACATGCTTGTGAGAATAGCCTTGCCATATCATCACCTAGTTTATCTAGTTCATGCATACCTATGGTATCCTGGACCAAATTTCACAAAACCCTTAAAATGAAATTGTGTAACTTAATAAAAAATAATCCTCATAATAGGTCTTAACTCTGTTTGAATGTATTTCTTCATGATCTTTCTACTTTTGATTGGAATAGTACATATATCTATATAGAGTTGTAATCAATATGTTAGGGAGTTTTGTCTTTTATTTAATGCCTTATTGAGTGCTGTACTAAGTACTTCACATACATTGTCTCATTTAATCCTCAAAACAGTAAGATGCCTATTATTGCTTTTCTTTGACAGAAGGGGAACCTTAGCCCTGAGGGTTTGAAATAAGGTTACAAAATATCCAGGAGAAATCTAGGTCTGTGTGATTACAAAACTCAGAATCTTACCTGCTAAGCCATACTGGCTTCTTTGATTGACTTTCAACTAGATTGTTAATGAAGATAATGTGTCTAATTAGTAGAAATTCTAACTTTTCAGCATTTACTGACAAATTTTTATGTGAGTAGGACCCATATAAAGAGTACTCCGATTTCTTCTTTTACTCTTGTAGGAACTGAAAGATGTTGGCCATCGTGATCAGATGGCTGCAGCTAGAGGAATCCTGCAGAAGAATGTTCCGATCCTCTATACTGCATCCCAGGCATGCCTACAGCACCCTGATGTCGCAGCCTATAAGGCCAACAGGGACCTGATATACAAGCAGCTGCAGCAGGCGGTCACGGGCATTTCCAATGCAGCCCAGGCCACTGCCTCAGACGATGCCTCCCAGCACCAGGGGGGAGGAGGAGGAGAACTGGCATATGCACTCAATAACTTTGATGTAAGTTATGCTTGGGTGGAAATTTCTAGCTTTTGACCATCCCTCAAAAGATAACAGGTTTCTGGGGAAAAGTGATCAAGGCCTCTAATGATAGCTTAGTTTCCACTTAGATCTGTAATCTAAGTAAAAGAAATTATGAATCATCAGTTTACTTGGGTTTAACTTGGCCCAAAACATTTATTTTTAGTTTGAATTAAACTTTTGGATTCTTTTATGTAGCTTGTGTTTCCTGTGAGGTCATTCTTTATTGAGGATATGGGTTTGATTCATTTCAACCAAGATTTTGAACTGGCAGATATGAAGCTATGGTAGATACAGAAACAAAGTACACGTAGGGTCTGTCCCCGAGAGGCTGTGGTGTATTGGGAGACAGAGAAACATCCTAAGTGACTGCAGCAAAAGTACCATCATTCTAATCCTTGTTTGCCTAGATATACTTCTTTTCAATGACTACAGTGGAATAATGAACAAAAATTTAATCAAGTGGAAGCAAATTTGGGATTAAAATACTTTCTTAGCATAATGCCATAATTACTTTCCATAAATGATGCTCTAGGTCTGTCCTCTGTACACAATTCTAATGTTAATTACGTGGTGGGTTGTATGTTTTTAATTCCTACCCACAATGCCTCATAGCTTCCAGTAGATGGCAGCAGTTTAATTTTTTTTTTTTAAGGGCTTTAAAAGTAATGTTGGAGCAAATTAAAAACAAATAAAGGAAGAGAATTTGTGTTCCAGGTGGCCAGCATCCTTTCATAAAGTAGCGATGCTGTGAAATATAAAATAATAATAATAAAAATACAGTGGAGTACATTTTTTTTTCTGCCTTTACTTTTTCTTTCTTTCTTTTGCCACCTTACTTTTGCTTAGCTAGCTGATCCTTATTGATATGCATGGCTGATTTAAGACTTTTCATAAAGCAAGAAGGCATGTTAAGTCTAAAGATCTTGGTGTTAGAACTTAGTTTTTACCGTGAAGCTTTAAACATTAAATTATTTTATAACAAACTCTTACGGTGCATGTTAAAATTTACTAGCAATGTTGTTTTTTTTCCCCTCAAAATTTGGCAGCATTGGGTATCTTTCAAAGATACCCAAGTAGCACATTTTGCCCTAAGTTGAGTAATATCTACCAGAAACCATTTAACTTCTCAGGGCCACTGGTATTTATTTGTAAAATGAGGGTTTGTACTAAATGATCTCAGGCCTATTGAGGCTCTGTTACTGTAATAAAATTCTGTGACCATTCATTTCTCATTTTTGTTGGCCAGAAAGCATTTTGTATTCAGTTTTGGCCAGAGAAATCCTGTAATAACCTAATCTGGTAAGAAAAATGATCAGCTAAAATGTAGATTAATAATGAACTGAAGGTATTGCATGTTCAGTTTGAAAACTGAGGGTTCTTTGGAAGGGAAGGAAGAAATGTATACTTATTGGAAAAGGGCAAGGTTTTGGTAGAAAAAAATTTGGCATTTAAGTTGAAATCAATAAGGACATAGTTTCTATAAAGAAAAATTAAAGCCATAATATTTGCACAGACATTTATCAGTATGAGAATAAATTATATCAAGTAGAGAAATTGGAGGGAGACCAATAGCTGCTGTCTTGAGGATGCTGTTTCACCTTGTACCTAAAGCTTACTTGTGACCAGACCTCACTAAGCACTGAGAAAGCTGGATGTAAGTGGAGTCGGGAGGGGAAAGGGAGAAAGATAAAGGATTTATTTATCTATTTATTTTTTGTTTGTTTTATTTTATTTTATTTACTTTTTTGAGATGGAATTTTGCTCTTGTTGCCCAGGCGGGAGTGCAATTTTGGCTTACTGCCATCTTTGCCTCCCAGGTTCAAGCGATTCTCCTGCCTCAGCCTCCTGAGTAGCTGGGATTACAGGGATGCACCACCACACCTGACTAATTTTGTATTTTTAGTAGAAATGGGGTTTCTTCATATTGGTCAGACTGGTCTCGAACTCCCAATCTCAGGTAATCTGCCTGCCTTGGCCTCCCAGAATGTTGGGATTATAGGCAAGAGGCATCACACCTGGCCAAAAAAGGGTTTATTTTTATTGGAGCAGTTCTTCCTCATAGAGTAGCTTTTTGGGAGGATTGCTTTCATCTCTTATAGAATAGTAGAGGTCCTTGAGGAAAGTAAGTCTCTAATTTAGACATAGGATAAATTTGAGACTGAATTATTCAGAAAATTTGATTAGTTGTATAAGGTGAGTAAAATAGAAATTCATTATAAATGCATTTCTTTCTGAAACTTTCAGGTTAGAGATCAATTGTGTGTGCACACACGTGTGTGTATTTTAAGAGACAAGTTCTTACGTGGCCTATGCTGGAGTGTGCAATCATAGATCATTGCTATGGGTACAAGTGATATTCCTGAGTAGTTGGGACTATTGGTGTGTGCCACCATGCCCAGCTTATTTAATTTTTTTGTAGAGCTAGGGTCTCGCCTTGTTGCCTAGGCTGGTGTTGAACTGGCCACAAACAATCTTTCTCCTTCAGTCTCTGAAAGTGCTGAGATTACAGGCATGAGCCACCACACCTGGCCTGTTTTGTTTTTATTTTTTAATTTTATTGTGGTGCAACAGTTCTGAATATCACATGGCAGTTTTATATCCTGCATATAAGAGAGAGGTAAGTTTATTTTCTTTGTAATTCTCATCCTATGATTTGAATTGCTAGTATTATACAGGTTTACCTTTAGATATTCAGAATAAGTTATGTGAGCATGATATATTTGTATTTGTGGTATCATCCATTGTGCACACCCTGTTTGGCTGCATAGCATTACTTCTAGAACTTTCTTTGAGGAGTGATCAACAGTAGGCCAACTTCTCTGGGACAGCCCCTTATCTGCTAAGAAGTATAACTTTCTTTCAGATGTTGGAATTTTTGTGTTAAATCTTGATATTACTAATATCACTTTCCTCACCTTGAATAAAGGAGGGAACAGAGATGAATACTAACATTCAGTAATACTTCTCTGCAGAAACAAATCATTGTGGACCCCTTGAGCTTCAGTGAGGAGCGCTTTAGGCCTTCCCTGGAGGAGCGTCTGGAAAGCATCATTAGCGGGGCTGCCTTGATGGCCGACTCATCCTGCACTCGTGACGATCGTCGTGAGCGAATTGTGGCAGAATGTAATGCTGTTCGCCAGGCCCTGCAGGACCTGCTTTCTGAGTACATGGGCAATGTGAGTTTGAAAGCTTTTCTTTGAAGTGGATTATTTATGAGGAGTTTTCTATAACATGTTGGATCTGAGATGTTTCATTATTAATGTCAAATATGTCCTTGACTCCTCAATTTTTTGGGGTAGGCCTGATTTTTTAAGGAATGGATAGATGGCTAAGTGGCTCTTCCCTCTCTCCAGCTTTTTGAGAAATTTTAAACTTACAAGAATCATGCAATATATACCTAGGAAATGTATCTGTATTCATCAGTTAACATGTAGATACATGTGTAGGTGTGTGTGTTTATAAATATATATGTGGATATATACAAACATGCTTTTTTCCCTCAAACCTTTGGAAGGAAGTTGTAGATGTTGTGATTCTTTACCTCTAATATTTTAGCATGCCTCTCCAAAGAATAATGACCTTGTATATCACTAAAATTTTATTATCCCAACGAGGTGGCTAACTTTGGGCAAAGGGGAATGTTGAAAACTTGCCTCTTCAGTATTTGTAGTTTATGAAATTTTTTTTCATGAACCATGTTGAATGTCATAAGAGTAGATAATTGCCAAGTAGAGTTATATGAAGCAAACTCTGAATAGAAGAGGGCTTTTGAATTTTTAAGGTTTGTGCATAAAAACCAAGGCTATGACATTTGGTACCCGACTTTTAAAGGCCACAGAAGATTCTGTATTTGTTGATTTTTCTCTATTGCCATATATCTTTCTTTTTTTTTCACTTATACTTCTTCTATTCCAGTTATTTAATGCTAACTTAGGGTCCCTGTCATTTCAACCTTGGACCCACTATTTTACTATGGCTAATTAGCAATAAATAAAGTAAAAAAATTATATGAAATCATTTTAAAGGGAAGAAGGACAGTACAAATTAGTTGTCATCACTAGTGTTTTTTTGCTTATTTAACACATTGAAGAAAAAGATCTTGGTCCTTTCTCATTTGTTCATTTGCCATACATCTTGTCTGTTCACTTACAGGCCTGTATAAGTTGATGGGTGATGATGAATCATGATGGAATTTTTAGGGTGAAAATGAATGTCTTCCTCTGTTTATCTGGTTCTACCACACTGAAATTGGTGATGCATATTGACTTTTTTTTTTTTTTAAGTAAACAGGATGTTTCACCGTGTTAGCCAGGATGGTCTTGATCTGCTGACCTCGTGATCTGCCCACCTCAGCCTCCCAAACTGTTGGGATTCCAGGTGTGAGCCACCCGCCCAGCCCATATATTGAATATTTTAAAGCCATTGTCCGCTGGATATGGTGACTCAAGCCTGTAGTTCCAGTGCTTTGGGAGGCTGAGGTGGGTGGATTGCTTGAGCCCAAGAGTTTGAGACCATCTTGGGGAACATGGTGAAATTCCATCTCTACAAAAAATACGAGTTAACCTGGCATGGTGGTACACGGCTGGTCCCAGCTACTTAGAAGGCAGAGGCAGGAGAATCGTTTAAGCCTGGGAGGTTGTGATTGCAGTGAACTACAGTCGCATCATTGTACTCTAGCCTGGGCAACAGAGCAAGAGTGCCTCAAAAAAAAAAAAAAGTCATGTTTTGATTATAGGCAGTCTACTTCAGAAAAATGAGATTAGAGATTTTGTTGAATCAAATGGAAAAAGCTGTTTTTAAGTCACAGTGAAAATATGGGACACAGTTAAAAATCCATAGCTAAGATTGAATGTTAGAAAATATTTTTTTTTACGGGTATGTTGAAGAATGGCTCACAATGTTGCAGTCTTAAATGGGAACAAAAACTCATGTTAGGTAAATGGTTAGTCGACTACTAACGTGGTGCTGGAAGTGGTGTAAAAGTGTCTAATGCAGTTATTATTAGGAAACCACTTCAAAAACAGACTTTGGTGGGAAGGAGGTTGTGATAAATCTGTTCTGATTGCCCCATTCTAGAGCTTCCTAATCAGTATATAAGATATTCCTTGAGTCTTGGGGTTTCACATTCTTGGGCCAGTCACCCCAGTCATGAGTACTTTGAGGTTTCTCCCTAGAGTGCCATACAAACAATGCTGTCTTTTCATGCCATCGATGTAAGAAAAAGTGGGAAACACTCATTTATACTGAAGACATGGAGACCACAATAGCATTCTTAAATGAAAACTGGAACAATGTGTGATGTGAGGCTGAAATTTGAGTATTAAGGTAGGGGTCTTGAAAGAAATCTTCTTGAAATTTAGAAATGTATTTTAGGAGATGGTCTCTGGGTATGGTGAAAAACTTTAGTTTCCTTGTATGGACTCGTGTAACGGTGAACAGGCTTGGACCTGTCAAAAAGCACTGAAGTGAGGATAAAGGAGAGGGCAGTGGAGCATACTTGAAGAAAGCATAGAATGATGAAAGCGTTCTGGAAGAAGCAGAAGCAACTGGGGATAGATTTTTGCTTATTTATAAAGCATTTAGAAACATTTAGAACCTCTAGTGAGTGTCAGAATATAACCAGCAATGTCTGCCTGTCAATCAGTTCATTCTGAGAATGTGTCACATGCAGAGCAGTGTTTTGGGCACAATGTAAGAGGAGGAATGAGACTGATTCCTCCCTTCTGGAATAGACAATTTCTGTGGGGGGTTTAATGGGAGTGTCATAGGTACAGACAAAATGCTGTGGAAATTGCAAGGAGGTTGAGGTTATTTCTAGCTGGGAAATCCAGGAGGCTCTCTAGAAGATTTATTTTGAAATCTTTTGGTTGACTTCTACCTTGATTTTTTTTTTAAAACGGTTCATTTTAAGTTTTTCTGTTGAAAAATGTTAGACAAATAATTGTTATGTGGAGAATTGAAATGACCTACATTAATGAAAACTTGTTCACTGCATGGAACTTTGTAAACATTGTTGTGAAGTCCAGAAAGGCTCACATAATACTCACTTTTTCTATTTCCTAGATTCTCTCATATTGTAATTAATATTTTTATAGCCACACATTCTTAAAGTGTTTTCTTCATTTTTTGTTGCTTATTAACAAGCCCCACTGGCTTTTTCTCTGAGGCAGCAATTCTTAACTTTGGATGCACATTACAGTCCTTGGGCAACTTAAAAATCCTAATGTTTCACGTGTACCCCAGACCAATTAAGTCAGAATCTCTGTGTCAAGATCTAGGTGTCAGTTATTTTAAAAGGCTTCCCAGTTGATTCCAATGTGCATCTAAGATGGAAAAACTGCTCTGGTGGTTTATTCTGTTTGTCCCTTTCTGTTCCCACTGCCATTATCTTCAGTGTCTCTCCACTCTCTCCATTTTCCACTTTGTTCTGCCTGCCCAGGCCAGGCTGAGCTGTTGTCTTTAGTGTAGGACATTATTCATTATGTCTGGAAATTCCCTTCCTACCTGTGTAAACCTAATCTGCTCTTTCTTCAGGGTCCACATTTGGTTTTCATCTCTCTGCTGAAGCCCATTTCAAACTTCATCATCTTAAATTATTTCTCTGGTGACTGAAATTTTGTGCCTTATTATTGTATACTTCCTTGAATTATTGTTTAATTGTGTTTCCTTTATCTATTTTATTCTGCAACTAGGTTTTAAACCTTTGGAACATGACAACTGTTTAAAAAAATATTCATTCACTGTCTAGTATAATGCTGCCAGAGGTAAATCCTTGCTTAATGAATTGGTAGAATGAATAAAATGAATAATTTTGGATTTTCATGGTGCTAAGGATACAATAGTGTGGGGGGGAAAACCAAAGACCCTTACCCTTATGGGCCTTACATTCTATAGGGGATGAAGGAGGAGGTTGTGGTGGTTTATTTCTACTTCCTATAGATCTCTCAGTATACAGATTACATTTGTTGAAAAATTAAACCGAATACTCTGAAATAAGCAATTAAGTGAAAGTGATACCTTAAATCAGAGCAGAGTTAAATTTGATTCATCTGCTGAGGGCCAGTCCCTTTTAACATTTCCAAGGGTCAGGAGGCTAGCAGCATTAATGTTGTTGTTTGCATTGTGGTTTGATGAAGAGTTGGTAGGGCGGTCGTGGCTCTGCAGCTAACTCAACTGTACAGGCTCTAAGGAAATATTGATAAAAGTAATGCATTTGACCTCTACTTACTTCACATTAGGGAAATACCACAGATACATGACAGTGGAGGTTTTGCCACCGTGTGTCCTTGTAGTTTCACAGATGACTTCCAGGTTTCCTTGAAATGAAATGTGGTTATATTGTGGTTAAGTTTAATTTGTTTTTGCTCTGTCAGCCTAAAGTTGCTCTGCCTGTGAGAGAGAAAAACAGCTTTGGATGGATATCATAATCTTAAAAGGTTTAAAAATGAATGGTTTGAAATTAAAATGAAACATAATTAAATTTGAAATGTTATTACTATTTTGTTTATTTTTTTCATAATTGGAAGCCAGACATGTGCATTAAAGTACAGAACCACCACTACTATTAGCATTTAGGGATATATATTTCCAGGTTTTTTTCTTTTCTTCTTCTGTGCAGAACATAAAATAACAGTTCTTAACTCTCAGTATTTTCTGCATATAAACATGAAATATCCGTAGAACTAGGTTTCAAATTATTAAGTTAATGAGTTAAAACAGTCTGCTGTCTGGTTGATGGGTTAAAATTTCTGGTTTTTAAATATATAGCTGATTTGGTTGCCCAGTTATGTGATTTAATGTTCTCTGACGTTATTTCTGTGCTACTGAGAAAGACTTCTGAAGGGCCGTATGCTTTATATAGCTGACCTCTTTATTCCTCTGAGGGATATGCTGTTAATATGTTCATTTCTCCCATTTTAAAGGCATGTGTTTTTCTAATAGTCGACTTTATTGGAACCAGACTTGTCTCTGTTACCATACCCCCCTTCAACCCTGACTCCTCAATGAATGAATAAGCAAGACTACTCCTTCCCCAAAACTCCAAATCTGAAAATACTTAAGACAGTGTCTGAAATATAAAGGACCCTCAGCCTTTGAAATGAACTCCATTTGTTTTTGACGGGAACATTCTTGCCCAGCAGATCATGGTCATGTTTGACTGACTGGCATTAGGGCTTATAATTGGTAAGAACAAACATATGCCATGGGTTTGAGTAGTACTGTCTCTCTGCTGTTCAGTATGGTAGCCATTTGCCATATGTGGCTGTTGAGCACTTGAAATGTGACAGGTGTAAACTGAAATTTGCTATAAGTATACACCAGATTTCAGAATGTAAATTATCTCATTGATAATATTTTAGATATATTGGTTCAAATATAATCTGCTATTAAACTTTACTTTTACCTGTTTCTTTTCACTTATAATGTAAATATGAAAAATCATATTTACATTGATTATATATGTATCTATAATGTATGTGTTATAAAAATTGTATGGGTGGTTTATTTTTGACTTGCATTGTAACTCTGTTGGATAGTTCTAACCGATAAGTAACCAACCAGCTAAGGTGAGTAGATAAGAGGTTAGGATCAACTTCACTGAATGTCCAGAATGACATGGTAGTCACGCGTAATTTCTGTTATAGCTTGTATTTTTTAAAATACTTAAAACTGTAGTTTTAGGCAGAAGAATATTGGTTCAGTTTAGGACCTGGTAAGGATAATGTTCCTTAAGGATATGTTTTATCCCTGTTCTTGCCCGAAAACATGAACACAGTAGTTGTAGGATCCCAAAAGAAGAATGCAATAACTGGACATATTTTGGTTGGACTGGACAGATATTTGAGGAATGCGATTATGTTAATATGTCAAGTATAAAATTTTAATTTGATTTGGGTAATAGTTTGATGTGCAATTTATGAATGGTATGCAGCTAATGTTTCTTTTCAAAGATCTTTTGAAAAGATATATTGTTATTGTAGTGAAGTGAATCACTCAATTTAGATGCTTATCCTTTCTCAGTTCTGCAAATGCCTTCCTGGAATCTCCTTAGCATAGCCAGCGCTTTTGAAGGACTCTGAAGAGCTTGTTACTGCATTATTTTGTGGTTGCACTTTCTTCTCTTCAAAATTAGAGTAGCTTAATTTTTTCCTGATTAAAGAAGTTCTGTGTTCATTATATATTGTCTGTAATATATACAGCACTTACTTTTGTTTATAACATTCCAGACTTAATTCTGGATATGTGTATATGTGGACTTACATCTGTTATTTTCTTACCTTTTCCTCTTTTTAAAAATGTTGTTAGTAATGATTGTCCATGCTTTTATACTGCTTACCATATGCCAGCCATTGTGCTGAGAGACATTTTATCCCCATGATAACCCTGTTGAGTTGCTCAAAAATACATACACATAATACAGGTGCAGTTTGAACTTGGATCTGTCTGACCTGAAGGTCTGAGCTCTTCATACTTGTACCATTGTACATCTTCCCAAGTTAACAAATATGATTTTACAACATCTTAATGGTGGCAGAGTTCTCCATTAAAATTAAATACCCCTAGAAGTAAAATAAATACTAGAATCTAAATTTCAATATTAAGTTTCTGAATTTGAATATCCTAGCCTAAATAAAATAGATCCAGGTCTGGGATAGCTGCTTGAAGTAAGTGGAGCAAAAGAGCTTTTTAGAGTATCTTTCCATGCTAGACTGGTGGTACTTGAGTGCTGTAAATGTTTTAAATGGGCTCTGCGGTGAGCAGGTACAGAGGCTGAGTTTTGTTACACAGTTATGGTATGATTATCATCTTTCTTTGAACTCTTGGGTTTTCTGCAAGAGATGCTTACCTAAATTAGTAGTCCATAGTTCTGTAGAGGCATTTGAAGATTATTTTATTGAATTGTTAGTGTAAGCTTTTCTGTGAGCTGCCTAATATACAGGGAGAGTTTATGTAAGTAGATGTTGCATTGAATGAAAATTTGAGCATGTGTAGGACTTGCTTTTTTGACAGCAGCATTTATTTTTATTTTTTTATTTTGTTTTTACTGTATATGTTTAAGGTATACAACATGATATTTAGATATGCATAAATTATTACTACAGTCAAGCCATTTAACATATCTGTTATCTTAGAGTTACCTTGTGTGGGTGGTAAGAGGGCCTAAAATCTACTCTCTTAGCAAGTTTTTCAAATACAGTATAATACAATACTGTTAACTGTAGGCTTCATGCTGTAGAGTAGAGCTCTAGATTTTTTTTTTTTTTCCCTTGCTCTGTCACCCCAGCTGGAGTGCAATGGTATGATCACAGCTTGCTGCAATCTCTGCCTCCCTGGTTCAAGTGATTCTCATACCTCAGCCTCCCAAACATAATAGCTGGGATTAGAGGCATATATTACCAAGTCTAGCTAGTTTTTGTATTTTTAGTAGAGATGGGGTTTCGTGCTGTTGGCCAGGCTGGTCTCGAACTCCTGGGCTCAAGTGATCCATCCACCTTGGCCTCCCAAAGTGTTGGGATTACAGGTGTGAGCCATCATGCCTGGCCAAGAGCTCTAGATTTATTCATCCTGCAACTTTGTACCCTTTGAAAATAAATGTCCCCTACTCTCACCATCTGGTAACCCATCTTTCTTCTGTCTTCTTTTTATTTATTAGAGAACATGTAAATATCATGCAATATTTTCTTGTGTCTGATTTATTTCACTTAGAATAATACCCTCCAAGTTCATCTATGTTGCAGAGTAGCATTTATTTAATTTGGAAACCTGTTGGTCAAAAATTAATGTGTGATTTTTTTACTGTTCAAAATAAGGAGTTTAAAAGACCTTAACTCTGAGGAAGACATCTTACCCCAGTTAAATTTGTGTTGCTTTCAAAGAGGTTTGAAGTACTTCTGTGTATACGCTACCCCGGCATTGTGAATTGCTGTATTTAGCAGGCAAGTTCTTAACCTTTATTTAATACCAGAAAGATACGTGCTTGTTTGTTTGTTTGTTTGTTTGTTTGTTTTGAGATGGAGTTTTGTTCTTGTTACCCAGGCTGGAATGCAATGGCGTGATCTCGGCTCATCGCAACCTCTGCTTCCTGGGTTCAGGCAATTCTCCTGCCTCAGCATCCTGAGTAGCTGGGATTACAGGCATGCGCCACCATGCCCAGCTAATTTTTTGTATTTTTAGTAGAGACGGGGTTTCACCATGTTGACCAGGATGGTCTCGATCTCTTGACCTCGTGATCCACCCGCCTCGGCCTCCCAAAGTGCTGGGATTACAGGCTTGAGCCACTGCACACGGCCCAATACATGTTTGTTTATTTCTTGAAGTGGTGCTGGCCTGATGGAGCAGTAGTGGAGTGGGATTTTGAAATCAGGATGCTGGAGCAGGCATGTAAGCCTGCCCAGTGTAAGGCTACAGATAGGAGTTTAGCCTCTTCAGGATTGCTGTTAGAGTGTCCTTTATATCATTTTGTGCTCTTTAGCTGTCAAGCAGGGTTGAAAAGACTTCATATCTAAAGTAATATTTCTGGATTAACAAGTAATAACCTCTAAATATATCAGATTATTAGTAATTATCTCTAGCTGGTGGGCAATGGACACTATAAATTTTCTTTGATATTTTTTCCCACGTCTTTGAAAATGTTTATTTTGTTTATGTCACAAAGTTTAGAAATAAACTTAGACCCTTAGATTTGTGTGTCTTAGATTTTTAGGTTTTGTTTATAATCATACTGTGTTTATTTCCAAAGCACTATTAATAGGGACATTTGATGGTGTTTCACACATGTTAATATGTGGATTCATTCTTTCCAGGTAACGATTCATTCAGGACTAGTTTGACTAAAGGGGTTAGTTTATTTTGTTTTTTTATTTTTGGTCCTGAAAGACCTTTACTGGATGGTTCCTTCCAGAGTCGGGGATAGGACACACATCCACACACTGTGGCCAGGCATCCCCAGACACCTCAGTCTCATGAACTCGGGGCAGGATGCTCACAGCCCATGGTCGGCTCAGCATTCAGGTGGGCTCCAGTGTGGTTACTTCTCTAGGGGCGTGCAATTGAGCAGCTTCTCAATCAGGTCCACGTGGGCCAACAGCATCTGGCAGCAGCAGTAGTGCTTTAGGCCCAGGGTGTCTAGGGCATCTCCCTCAGTGTATTCCGCCTGCAGAAGCCCCAGGTAGGCCTTCCAGTTGTTGCTGACAATCTTGCCACAGGTGAAGCAATGCATGGGAATGATCATGGCGGCGGTGCATCCCAGACTGCCGTTAGTTTGCTTTTTAAAAAATTACAGTATACATTTCTATTAAGTCTTGAAATGAGACTCAGTTATCTCTCTGTGATAGCGTTTGCTTCATTCTTTCCTTGTAGTATATATTAAAGTGATTTTTGACCTTGGAAGTATAAAATTGTGAAGTTAGAATTTGGAAGTGATTTTGTTATTATGTGGTCTAGGGGTTGACAAATTATAATTATCAGGTCAAGTCTAGCCTGCCACCTATTTTTATAAATAAAGTTTTATTGGAACATAAGCCGTACCCATTTAGTTGTTTTTTCTTCTTCCTCCTCCTCCTCTCTTCTTTCTTCTTTTTTCTTTCTTCTTCTTTGTCCTCTTCCATTTTCTCCTCTTCCTCCTACCTCCTCCTCCTCCCCCTCACCCTCTCTTCCTCTCCCCTCTCTTTCTCCTTTTCTTTTCTCTTCTGTCTTTTCTCTTTTCTTTTTCGTTTTATTTGTTTTGAGACAGGATCTTACTCTGCCACCCAGGGTGGTACTGCAGTGGTGCATTCACGGCTCATTGCAGCCTTGACTTCCCCAAGCTCAGGTGATTCTGCCACCTCAGCCTGACCAGTAGCTGGGACTACCTGTTTGCACCAGCATGCCCGCCTAATTTTTTGTTTTTGTAGAGATGGGGACTTGCCATTTGGCCAAGGCTGGTCTCAAACTCCTGGGCTTAAGCAGTCTGCCTGCCACAGCCTCTCAAAGTGCTGGGATTACAGGTGTGAGCCACCAAGCCTGGCCAAGTAGTTTCTAAAGAGACTGCATGGACCCAGAGCCTACAATACTTGCTATTTGGTCCTTTATAGAAACCTGCCAATTTTTATTTATTTATTTTTTTGAGATGGAGTTTCGCTCTTTTTGCCCAGGCTGGAGTGCAATGGTGTGCTCACCACAGTCTCTGCCTCCTGGGTTCAAGTGTTGCAGTCTCCAACTATAATTGTAGATCCCACCATTCTTTATTTCAGTTCTTGGATTGCTATTCCATGTGTTCTGTTCAGGATTTTTACATTCAGTGGGACAAGCAGGGTGGTATATATTTATTACATTTAGCCAAAAACAAAACTCAACCAGTTTTTTCAAAGCTGAGTCTGAAACTAGTGAAGTGTTAGGTCATGGACATACCCATGTTTGAGCAGTTAGAACTAGAACTAAGGCTTTTGATTTTTTAGTCTAGAGATTCTCCTGTGGTGTTCTTTACATATGATGCCATGGATGATGGGCAATAAGCTGATACTTCCATAGGATAGAACTTATTAAAGCTTGATCAAATAATATAATCTCCCCAGGGCACACCTTTGGCTGGAATTGGGATCATTAATAGCTGCCCCTCTAACTGACCTTGTTAAAATGCGCAGAGAATCAAGACCAAGGAAACCATGAGGATGGGGATATAATGGATGGTGTTATTCAAAAATATCAAAATGCCTTGGAACTAAAGAACAGAAAAAATAAAGTGTAGCAAAGAATAGGGTGAACAGGGATCTGGATGGGCGGGGACCAAGGGACATGTCTTCTGTGACAGGTGCTTTTCAGCTTTTTGTGTTTGCTCCATTGCTTGCTCTCTGCCTCTAGCAAGGAGCCAAAGTGGCAGTCTCCATCTCCAGTCTGCGTGATTTTGTAGTTCAAGCGTCTAATCACAGCTGACAAGTCTCTTTCCCTCTCCTCTTAGTGTGTGTGTGTGTGTGTGTACAGTGCCATGTTTGATGAGAAACACAAAACTATAAAATGTGTGTGCAAATATGCAAATTGGTATTTTTAGGGAAAATATAATATAGTTTCTCCTTCAGTTACTCTTTTTGGCTCAAGGAGTAGGCTTTACTTTTTGGCAAAGTTGTCATGTGTTGATAATAAAAAAATTGATTTATTAAAAATATTGTGATTGTTTAAATGTAGCCAACTAGTAGTTGTGGGAGACCACCTATTTAGCTTAGAATGCCCATACGTGACAAACATGTAAAACTAAAAGCATATCAGTCATAACCTTCTACCCTTATATTTTGTATCCATTCATCTTAAAACGTTTTTTTAAAATCAGATATTTTACAGGACTTAAGGTAGTAAATAAAAACTCATTGTGACTATGGCAGTTAAGGATTAAACAAATTGGGTTTGTATGTTTGGTTTTTCTGCCCTCAAACTAGCCTTAATGTTTTTTTTGTGGTTTTTTTTTTTTTTTTTTTTTTTGTCTTTAACCCTCTCCTCCCCCCAGTAAATGTAGTTACATAGAGGGATGCCATTCATATGCTTTTCATGATGGGCAGGTTGTCATGAGCATTGAGTTTCTAAACTATCCTTGTCAGAAACAGGAAATTTCCTCTTCTCTGACTTCAGACCTTTTGTGTTGAAAGTTGCCTCTTTGGTTGATAACATTTCTTAGTCATAATGCCAACTTAGAAGGGCACATGTCTGTGGAATACATTTTTATTCTTAGAGTGGATTATTTTATTCATTTTGAGTTGAATCTTTGTTCACATCTGATGACTGCTAATGAAGTCCTTGCCACTAGCTCAGTGGCTTGCTTATTTTATTGATTGATTGATTGAGACAGAGTCTCTCTGTCACCCAGGCTGGCTGGCTGGCATGTTTGTTTGTTTGTTTGTTTATTGAGACACGAGTCTTTCTGTCCCCCACGCTGGAGTGCAATAGTGTGACCTTGGCTCACTGCAACCTCTGCCTCCTAGGTTCAAGTGATTCTTCTGCCTCAGCCTCCCGAGTAGCTAGGATTACAGGCGTGCACCACCACACCTGGGTAATTTTTGTATTTTTAGTAGAGATGGGGTTTCACCATGTTGACCAGGCTGGTCTTGAACTCTTGGCCTGATGTGATCCGCCTGCCTTGGCCTCCCAAAGTGCTGGGATTATAGGCATGAGCCACTGTGCCCAGACTATTTTAAAGAGGAATATTGGGTATATAGAACCAAAGACTGTTGGGAACTGATTCCATTTGGTCATTCTTTAAAATTGCCATTAGGGCTTTTCATAATGTCATGATTTGAAAACATAAGGAAAATATTTCCTTTGAGTTACTATATGTTGAAATAACACCTGGTCAGTAAATGTCTTACAAATATTATTTTCAGATGCTTTGGAATGACTGGTCTCCTGCTCATTGTCGTTGTTGTTACTGTTTTTATTTTGAAACGGAGTCTCGCTCTATCACCAGACTAGAGTGCGGTAGACAATCTCAGCTCACCGTAACCTCCACCTCCTGGGTTCAAGTGATTCTCCTGCCTCAGCCTCCCAAGTAGCTGGGACTACAGGTGCGTACCACCATGCCCAGCTAATTTTTGTATTTTTAGTAGAGATGGGGTTTCGTCGTGTTGGCCAGGATGGTCTTGATCTCTTGATCTTGTGATCTGTCGGCCTCAGCCTCCCAAAGTGTTGGGATTATAGGCATAAGTCACCACGCCCAGCCCCAGTTGAAGATATTTTAATGTTTGCAGTTTATAATAATGTACCAAGTTGAATACAGTGTGGCATTATATTTCAAGGCTTTCTTACTAACCGTCCTTTAAATTTAACACTGGAACATATTAGCTTGAATTACTTCTCCTTACTTTGAGAAAGAATTACTGGTTTTATAGATTCAAATATGAAAGTGATCTTCTAGGAGTGAAAAGATTGTTTTGGCTTGGCCTTGTTCTTGTGTATGACTATTGCTTACTATTTCCTGGTGTAAAATGACCTGAAATATTTTGTTAGAAAAAACTATACCATCCTGGACAACATGAAAAACCCCGTCTTTATAGAAATACAAAGAATTAGCCCAGTGTGGTGGCACACACCTGTAGTTCCAGCTACTTGGGAGGCTGAGGTGGGAGGATAGCCTCAGCCCAGGAGGTTGAGGCTGCAGTGAGCCATGATGGCCCTATTGCACTCCAGCCTAGGCAGCAGAATGAGACTTTATCTCACACATACACCAAAAAGACCTGTAATACTGAACCGTAATCTTTTAAGCTCATACTAATAAGTATACTTGTTGCTGGGAAGCAGAGCATATTGTTTATTTTACTTTGAAGATTCTGTATTTTTGGTGAAAAATAGTTGAAGTCACTGTATATAGAAACATTGTTTTCTAAAATTGGCCATTAATGTATACCCTATTTAATGATTTATGTTGTGATAAAGGATACCTTTTCAAAACTATTTTTTCTTATGTCATTAAAGTTTTTTAATTAAGAAAACAGACTCAAGGTTTTAACTCGTTTATGTCAGAGGTTAGAAATTTTTTGTGTGAAAAATCAGACCTTGGTGAGGACCTTGAGCAGTAGGGTATAAATAACTCCCACAAGTTTAGCGTTCCAATAGTGGAACACTAGGCCTAAATGGGTTAAGAAGTTTGTTGGATTTTTCTTTTTCAAAGCAATATTAAATGTTGTATCATTCAGATAAAAATCCAATTTTAAAATTAAAATTTTTAATCATGGCAGTTAAAGAACATGACATCATTGGCTAGCTCTTCCTTGCTTTCTATAGGGCTAACTGGGCAACGGTAGAGGTTAAAATCAAACTATTCTTTTCAACTAGGTTTTCCTATCCAATGCTACATTAACCCATTTCGTTTCCTTCCCCTCCCCTCCCCACCCCACCTCATTTCTTCTCTTCTCTTTTCTACAGACTTTCACTCTTATTGCCCAGGCTGGAGTACAATGTTGTGATCTCAGCTCACTGCAGCCTCAGTCTTCCAAGTAGCTGGGATTATTGGTATGCGCCACCATACCCAGCTAATTTTGTATTTTTTGTAGAGACAGGGTATCACCATGTTGGCCAGGCTGGTCTTGAATTCCTGACCTCAGGTGGTCCACCCACCTCGGCCTCCCAAGGTGCTGGGATTACAGGCATGAGCCATCGAGCCTGGCTGCCTCCTCCTCCTCCTCTTTTTTTTTTTTTTTTTTTTTTTTTGAGATTGAGTTTTGCTCTGTTGCTCAGGCTGGAGTGTAGTGGTGCGATCTTGGCTCTGCCTCT